TCGATTATATAGCTTTTGAAGGTTTTATCAAAGTGTTCTCTTTCGAGTGGGCTTGCCAGCCGGCTATAATGATACCTCCATGCGTCTCGAACCATATCCGGATGGCGAACTATAGTGCCATTAACGCGGATTTCCGATGATCCGTTACCCGCCCTATTCCCACGCCTAGCCCTCACAGCTTTATAAAATGTACCCCTGTCCATTTCGGCATATCGAAGTTTTTGAAGTTGCTCCTGCTCATACTCGGACCTAGCTCTGTCAAGCTCGTTTGTAAACAACCTCTTGACGTGTTTATATTTTGTATAGGACTCGAAAGAATGTCCCCTAGGACGACCTTCAGATACCCAAATTGACATCGTATGCCTCATGTCCTTATGCAACGCTTTCACATTCCCACTGTTCCAATATGGTTTGAGGTAGTGTTTGTATTCTTTATGCAGAATTATATAATCAGGCGCAGTTTTCATAAATTTAACAAGGTTTTTGATACAACTATCAGCCTCACTCACTATACCGTTACCGATGTCATATGAACGTAGGAAGACTTCAACAGCTGCCTGATATTTTTGAATATGTGCCGCTGTTGCCGCTTTCCAATTGACAGTACGTAATGGGGTGCGTTGGCTATACAGTTCTGGAAATTTACACAAAACCGATTTGTACAGGAACATGATCCGACACATTGAGAAAATGGTCATCACAATTGCGACAAAAATTGACTAAATCGATTTTCGAGCTGTTTAGTAATATATGATCAATCAAACTAGCGTTTAAACCATTACCGGAAACAAACGTGTATTCTAGACCTGAGGACCACGACTGAGTGTTAGCTGATATCAACTGCCTTTCCGACATAAATTCTTCAAAAATTTTACCTCTGTAATTTGCTACATCGTGATTCTTTTCGCCATACGTCTTTGAAATATGAGCATTAAAATCGCCCATTACGATAACGGTCCCCTCCTCAACAAGCCTATCGTAAACGTCAGACATCGTATCGATAGTGTCGCGATAATCACGCAAACTCTGGTTAGAGGAGGGTAACAGTACCACTTGTCTGGATTCTGATGCTCATGACTATGTCGTTACCTTCACTGTAAAGCGGCGTAACCCGCAGACGCGTGTTCCATAATAATGATAGCGACGCCGCCAAAACCGCGGTTCCATCTGTTATTTGGATTGTCCGAAATCCGGCTATCGTGTCTTGCATATGACTTAAACTGTGTGTCTATGGAATCAAAAAAGCTTACTTGTTCAGACATTAACCAGTGTTCAACCACAACAGCCACGTCAACTTCCACTAAAGTTTCACACGGATACGGCGTACCATACATGGCTCCCCTCATGTTCCATGTCTGTAATATCATCTGGGATGAACTAGACACTAAAAACAACAAAACAGATATGTTGCATCTAGTCTCCATCACTATCGTCAAAGTTATTCGAATATCCGAAACCGTCATTTCTGTAACGCCCTTGCTTTACAGTCCTGTCACCATTTTGATATACGTAATCGTATTCGAAATTATCATTGTCTTTCCAATTCCATCGCATGGATTCGCTTTCGTGTTCGCGTTTTCCCCTGTTCGGCCCTCGTGAATCTTCCCAGTCCCACCAATCTCGAACTAGCACACCGTCTGGCCAGAATGAACCATTGGTGACAAGATGATAATGCTCCTCCACCACATTAACTCTCGCCGTGTATGTTGGATTCTCTCTGTCCAAATATTTTAATAACTGAACCCACGTGGCTTTAACACCACGATTCGCTGCATAAGATATGATAGACTGGATTATTCCGTTTGAGGAACCGTCTGCCTTAATTCTAGACATCAGTATACGTTAAGGTTTCGGCTTTCTCTGTACACCCTGGAATACATATTTAGGTCTGCTGTCAGAATTGTCTGTGATTGTTTTTGTCTCATTTAGTAAAACAGTTTGTGATTTTGATTCATCCCGACTATGTCCGTTGTTTTCGCTTCTCCTCGTAACTTGGCTGTTTGGCAACCGATTCTGATTCCGAGGCAATTGGACCGTGTTGACTTCTATCGTCACCGATATTACTAATATTTTTCGTTTTACTTTGATTCAACGGCCGTTGATTTTGTCTTCTGATTCGCGTCGAATGTTTTTGAAATCTTGCGCGTCACAACTACAATTCACAGTTGTCACGGTTTTGCCGAGGTTGTCGGCTGTATGTTCAGGTGTCGAGTTTGAGTAGAGCTCTTTCTCTAGAAGTGCTATTCGTCCCTTGCTCTTCTAACCTCTTCTCTATTCGTCCCTTGCTCTTCTAACCTCTTCTCTTGCAGTCTCTTACTCTTCTAACCTCTTCTCTAGCCGTCCCTTACACTTCTACCCTCTGATATCGCCGTCCCTTGGTCTTCTTACCTCTTCTGTAGCCGTCCCTTGCTCTTCTGACCTCTTCTCTCGCCGTCCCTTGCTCTTCTAACCTCTTCTCTATTCGTCCCTTGCTCTTCTGACCTATTCTCTCGCCGTCCCTTGGTCTTGTTACCTCTTCTGTAGCCGTCCCTTGCTCTTCTAACATTATCTCCATTCTAGGTTATATTTATACCCCATTATAATCAATTGGCACGTGCTTAGCTGGTTAGTTGAGACTTAAGATCATATCTATGTAATCATGGATTCACTCCATGTTACTAGGATGCCTCCAGCCCTTATCTATCATAAGGTCCATAAACCCCTCATAATCAATTGGTACGTGCTTAGCTGGTCAGTTGAGACTTTAAGATCATATCTATGTAATCCTGGATTCACTTAGCTATTCCCTAGATATACGTAACCAATTACACAATATCGAAACACTGACTGTGTCACACGTCCTTCACTAAGTGATGTATTTATGTTTCACCTCAGCATGACCCGGTCTCACACGGGATTATTCACAAATAAGGATGACCATGAATCCGATTTAAACTGACGATTAGCTACAATTTGGTGCTTTTCGAGTAGTCAAAACTTATTGCCTTGTATGATTAAGTTACTTTATGTGAAACAAATAGGGGGAAAACGTTTTAAATGATTTTGCATATAAATGTGTGCTGTCAACATTGACTTTTACTATTGTATATTTTGTTTTACATTTACTATTAACTTTTTGGAAAGTAAAAAAAGATCTTTGAGAGGAAAATCATCTGAACCCGAGACTTATTTTTTCCCACAAGGCTTTACCTTCGAGGGATAATACGGGCTAGGGTAAGAAAATTGTCATATAAATAAATAATAATATACATCCCGCAGTACATAGTTTAGAACTGTATGTCAAATTTATCAGAAATAACACTAATCGAGTGTAAAAGAGGCGTGTTTCCCCTGAAATTTGATGAACCGGGAGTAAAACAGAAATGGTGCGTTGCAGGCGGATATGGCTAGTGAGTACGGACATGATTCGGTCTGGGACGTGGCCCGTGTACAGCTAACAATCGCACAAGCATGTGTAACAAAATGGGCTGAAATCGACCTATTTTGTTACACAAACACGTATCCACACTAAAAGCATCAAAAAGGGATGAAGTCGTTTCAGTAAGAGGAGGATAGATTTAACAGATATATATACTCGATCTTAACACGCCGATATTATCGGTATCTAAGATAACGACCATTTTGAATAAAACATGAAAAGGACATTCCTCAAGTTAAATGGTATTGAAGCATTTTTTTATCATTTAATGTTACTGTGGTTCCGTTGTAGAATTGAAATGATCGTATAATGCGATTAATAATCGACATATATATGTTCCATCCTCGAACTTCCATGTTCTCTACATCCTTGCAATATGTCACGACGAAATCGAAGGCACGCTGTTACCTATTTGATTGGTTTCGGGTTAAAAAATCTGACCAATCGCTATAGGTTATTACAGAGGAGCAACTTCATAGCCCGTCAATTGAACTATTATGCTGCCGCGCGATTTTTTTGATGTACATCAATGGATCAAACTATCCACAAGGTGACGTGGGTGCAGAGAACGTAAGTGAGCACAACCCCTTGAATTTTGGGTATATAGTGATGACTTTCACTGCATTGTTTTCTAGGCAACGTTGTGATAACCCTTACTGCATGCTTATCTGTATGGGTATCAGTAACGTACTGATTCAAGTAGTTGTCTGGTAACAGCTGAAGGATTAACGAAGTGATGATAGAAAGGCTGGGTGTCAAATGTCGAACTTCAGATCTTTTCGTCGGCTTCCGTTGCTGGGATAGAGGGACCGTTTGTTTGGCGGTTTCCGTTGATGAGATAGAGGGACCGTTTGTTTGTCGGTTTCCGTTGATGAGATAGAGGGACCGTTTGTTTGCAAAGTTTGTTCTTTTTGAAATTTCATGTTTAAAACAATGAGAAAAACACACTGTATATCTTTATATTAATATATTAATGTATTTCTTTATATTAAAAATGCATCTTTCAATTAAAAAAATAACATCTATACAAAAAACAAAAGTCAATGTTGAAATGTATAGCATAATAAATTAAAGGCCCGTATATTAAATTTGTGTTCAAACGCATTTGAAATGGATTACAAATCTAACTTGGCGAGACATTTCCGGTCAAAAATTGTCCTTGTTATATTTACAATGTAATAAGAGTAAGACGATGTATATTCGCTGTAGATAAACCTACACTGAACAATGCAAGTTACCGGTACAGGTACTTGACTCGATGTCGCACACCAATAAAATGGTATGTCTCGAATATAAGCAATAGGATCACTGTATTTATGGATAGGTACACGTAGTGGCCTTGCTCAAGTCAGTGAGAGATTTTTCTATAGGGTTCGGGGATACTAATCGATTCAAGTTCACTTGGGGGAGAAAATGTTTGCCTTTCATCCCATCAATGATCAAGTCTTATGTTTATTATCTTCGTGATGCTATCAATACGTACATCTTATCATGTCGACTGTCAGTAACATCTGGTGCAAACGTGTCTACACTCCGCAGAATCAATAGTCTGAATCCGCAAATAATAGCTCATACACTATGGTAAATTTGTTCACGTTAATTATTATTTGAAGAAAGAGAATGTGACCGTGTGGTACATCCGGTTGAATACTGTATTCGCATAAGCAGTCACGTTTTTCCGACTGGCAAAGTTCCAAAACTGCTCCTTTATCAGGGTCGTGGAAATAATGTTCACTTTCCCCAGGACTCCATTTAGGAGCTTAGACATATCCGGGATATTAATTTCCGAGAGACTTGTGTCGCGGAGGACCACACTGGCGGCAAACAGGACGACGGAGATAATAGTTCCTGTCGCCATACACATGATCGTTATCAGAGCCATACATATGAGCAGGAAGACGAACATTGACATGGCGACCATACTAGATACCAAAATGAAAATGAGTATAGGGTACATGCTGGAAATGTACACGTAAATCTCTCTCAAAAGAAGATAGACTAGTCCACGGCCTCCTCGTAATATGCTGATGGTATATTTCGCAGGATATTTCTTTTGGACAATGGAATGGCTTATGCTCGAATTATTGTCGTCAGTAACGTAGAAGCATTTTCAGATCTGTAAAATAAATGAGGAAAGTGATTAATACTAAGCGATACCAGCGTGCGTCATCACATACACATCACATGTAACCCGAGTAAGACTCATTCACACTTCCGATAATAATAATTAATAATTCGAGGTTCTTATATACCGCTTTATCACAACCTAGTTCGTAGGTCGTCTCAAAGCGGGTCACAAATTATTATCCGTGGTTATAGGGCCTTTGCAATCAGCCAATACCTATCCAACTCACTGGGGAGCATACAACCGGAGCTGCCATTTCGGCGCTAACAGCTAGCATTCAACAATTTTAGCACTGCCAAACCACGTACTCATTTACAGCTGAGTAGACTGGAACAAGTGGAGTATCTTGCTCAAAGATACAACACAGTGCCGTACCGTGACTCGAGCTTGCAACCCTTCGGTCATGTGCCCGGCGTCCTACCACTATAGACTACCGTGCCTCCATTAAACTTTCATCATATTCAGATTCTTTATTCTTCGTGTTTTACAAGATGTCTGAGAGAAGACATGATAGTACAACATTACATAATGTTATTCATTTACATCATGAAAAGTAGCCTTACATCTACATGCACTATGATCTTACTTCATATTATACAATGCTTGACACAATATTCTATGATTTATTTAGATGCAACAACACACATCATAACAAAACAGCATATTGTTATTAAAATGGAACATTCAGAGAAAGTGTTTTTCTCCTGCCCAGACAACTCCAACAACCCAGGTGGAGTATAAAATGGTCTGGGGGGGATGTTGCGGTATCTGTGCTGTGGCATTCAAGTGAAGTGGCACTATAAATGATACCGTTGGAAGTACGGTCCCACTACAAACAGAACACAATACATATCCAGCACACACGTAGGCATACACGCATAGGGAGATATTAGCCAGGTGGTTTAGGTAACTAAATCCTCGATATCTAGGGGTTACGCTCACTTTCGCTCTCTACAGCGCGAAAGTGAGCGTAACCCCTGGGTATCGAGGATGAGGTAACTAGTGGATAGCGCCTGATAAGGCTGCTGCTGCGAATTCCTCAAAATTGTATTGATTAATGTATATGCTAATTGTATTCACTGTATTAAATTGTATATCTATGTACTGTAAAGCGCTTTAGAGTAGCTTGTGTTAGCTAGATAGGGCGCTATATCAAATGTTATATATTTATTTACATGATAATATAACATATCACAATTTAATATCACACATTGTAACCGAATAGTTTTATATATTAAATGTTGTATATACTATATTACAATGTCCTATAATATAACAACTGGAAGCACAGTATAATACAGTTAGATGCATTAATATACATTGTCCGAGTTTCCTCTGGCCCTAATATAGATATCTATATGTGAAAATGTCTAAATCTGGAGTTAGGGCCAGAGGAAACTCGGGCTATAATATACAATGACATTCATTATAATCTTCAGCAAATTCGAAGGTGTGGATTACTTGAAAACATAATTTGTATGAAGAAAAGGCCGATTTATTACCAAAGCTTTTGCTGGATAAGTAGATTAAACGGTACCGTGCCCCCCACCCCCCACCCCCCACCGATCCACCCAATTTAAAAAGTAACGTATATACATTTTTTTCTGAACTCGTGAAGCAATATGCAGTCGTTTGATACCGGAAATAGATTAATTTTGACTTTGTCCTTTGTGAGCAAGGTTAATTGTTTACCATGGCACATACCATTCTTGTCAGACATTATGTAGTCACTGATACGTCATTGTGTGAAGGACCTTCCGTCCGGTTAATACGTTGTTATGTATATGGATATGAAAGACTCGTATCAACCTCAGACTTAGTCCCGTGACGGTCGATATTACATCTCAGGTTTATAATTTTATAAACAACTTAACGCGGACTTACCTTATATACAAATGTACCTTTGTTCCACAATATCACACGTGTTGGTTATATCACGGAATAAGATATAATTCCGTGGTTATATATAGCACAGTTTCTCCATAAATACATTTGAAAATGTCTTCAGTCGATTAGTCAGTGACGTCCATCCCGCAGGAGTACTATGGTGATGTAACTGGTATGGCCTGTCGATAGATAGATTTTACGTCCGCTTCACTACCGAGTAGTTCGGTTATCCAGCTGACGATATGGCCTGTCCGTACTTGTGTTAACATGTAGTGGTCAGCGCCTGACTGGACGCCGACACCATGATGTAATCACATGTAACCTCAGTAAGGCGATGGTATAGCTTTGTGCCACTGACAATGATTATATATTTGCTTTTGTATGTTGACAACATTGCTATGATGTCATCTTGTATTTTACTCTATGTTCTCTGCCATCTTACATAAATGGATTGTAATATTTACTTGTATGTGCATGTATATTGTAACTACTACAAATACGATAGAATGAACAACGATTCAGATTTCACAAGATTTTTGCTCATTCATGATGTAATTTCTCCACATATTTTATGGACAGTAGCATTAAAATTCCCTGAACATCTAAGCAAGATAAGCAATATAGTTCGATTATGTGCTAATTTAAGTTCAACAAATATTATTGAATTATGCCATTTTTGTGGTATTTTACATAATGACCGTTTAACACATATAGTACTCCATTGTACAAAAACTGAAAGTCTTAGAGACGATCTATTGTGTCTTATAAGTACGGCTTTTGATATAGATCTTAGCGTGTTCTTATACTCTTTGTCTGATTATGATTTAATTCATGTATTACTTGGGGGTTGCCTTCCCCACATATTAAGTTCATCTGATTATGTAACCTTTGTACTGCATAATGCTATTTTTATTGACAAAATGTTGCTGTTGTATCAGCGTTAATAATGAAATAACACGTATAAATGTACGTACAATAGCAATGTCTACCTAATTACTATTTTTTCTCTTATTTTGTGTGTTTATGTGTGGGTAAGCCTGAGAGGACCTTGTTATTAGTTTGTATGATTTGTTGTTAACGAGACCATTCTTTCTGTATAACTTCTCTCTTCATCTCTGTAGTTAACTGATGTATTTATGTGCATTTAAGTATCAATTAATAATATTTTATTTGTATTTTGACTACACTGTACATTTTTGTAACTCTTCAATTTGGAGGAAATAAAGAAATAATAATAGACAATCATTTGTAAAACGGTTTGCAAGTTACGCACCCTGTCAAGGCACGGACTTAGATATAGTCGAATCTAATTCCGTGGTCAAGGTCATCTTAATGACCCAAGGGTAAAGTGTCTGATACAGACCTGTCATCACACACGTATGATTTCGTTTACTGATAACTTTGATGATAATGTATATCCGGAGGCATTTTTTTTACCGTGTATGCTTATAGCATCTTCTTAATTAGTAGTCTACATAGGGGTACATGTGTACGACGCCGGAAGTGAACCGGGGTATGGCGTAAGACGCCGGAAGTTGACCTTTGGACGAAGTAAGGCGCCGGAAGGAGATACTTAATTAGACTCACATATTGTTGATACAAGATGCAATACTTTCCATGTCGCATATTAAAATATAAACATTAACAGGAAGTATTTTGCAATAAATCCGTGTGTCGTCCTCTGTAGCCAATCATGCGGCTTTTCAAATCAATTCATTTTATTCTGTAAAGCCTTACGGCTTATGAGGTACACGACAATTAACATGATACATGTAGTTACAATCTGTACAAAGTCATATACCTTATACCAAAAGACGTCATGCTTTTGATGACGCCGCGGTCATATCAAAACACAGGGGTTCTGTCGTCATTGAGTGATATTCACCTCCTACAACCAGGGACTTAAAATATAGCATCCCGTGCTTCACCAAACAATGTCTCTTTAGTTTTACGAAGAAACAGACAAGTGGTCTGAACAATGCATATATATGAATTATAAGGACAGATTGTGTAATAATGACGGACCACTACTTATATCTACTGTTGGAGTACATGGTATTATATATATGTAGGTGTATATAAATGTAGGTGTGTATATATATGTATGTGTATATATATGTAGGTGTGTATATATATGCAGGTTTATATAAATGTAGGTGTATATATATGTAGGTGTATACATATGTAGGTGTGTATATATATGTAGGTGTATATAAATATAGGTGTATATATATGTAGGTGTATATATATGTAGGTGTATTTATATGTAGGTGTGTATATATATGTAGGTGTAAAGAAAACATTGAGAAGTCCTTGTGTTGGAATTAAATATAAAAAATAGAACAAAAGACAGAGATAGCGTCTCTAGGCCTTTCTCGGGTTGATTCCCCGTTTATCAGGAGACTGTTTATTTTGAAAACAGGTATTGTGAGGTCATAGTTGTTTACACAAGAAAGTATGACCTCATCAATAATGCAAAGTCATTATGACGTCCCAGAAGGCATACACATAAATCCATGACGTCAACAACAGTACAAGCTTAATTGCATTCATCTGATGTGATAAAGAGGGGAGTTAAGGAGTCGGAGTTAATTAAACTGTTGAAACCCAGTCTGAATAGTTCACATTAACTTCCACGTGTCATGCTTTAAGCAATTGCTGTGCTTTAAATATTATTGTTCATATTTTATTGTTGCCGTAAATGACACATTTTGTATCTCCCGCATTTTTTATTGTTGGTAAGATCATTAGGTTATGCATTTGTCTAAGTAATGTAACGTCACAATTTAGCTTGTATTGTTGTTGACGTCATGGACTCATCAATGTAAATCATTGTCTATCGTCGCCTCAGATTATTACATATTTTACCGGAGTAATAGTTTGTAACACTCTTTATAATCATATCGTAATAAATACGTCTATATATATAAACTTTTTTAGTTATAAAGATATGTATATGGTCTTATATTTATCACCACCGTTTCTATGTTGCGTTATCTCCCTTTTATACCACTGTTGTTGGTGAGGACACTATAACCAACTACAGTAAATGTGACTGTGAGAGTGACATTGGTCTTTTTATTAATCACTTTTTCTGTAATATCATATAATATCCATTTCAATAGTAATAAATGTTTAACTTAACTGGATGTTTTGAAAAAAGACCTGTCCTACCATTTTGTTAATTCTAATTCCGTATAAATCCTACTGTTTTAACAATATGGTATCTTGAAGTTTTTTCTAATGAAAACATGTTAAATGATATAATGTTTCTATATCCCCATAAGCATCTAGTATCGTATAAACTTGTTTTTAGTATGTTTAAACTTTTCTATTTGTAGACAGGTTTTAGCATTAGAAATATGTAAATCGGAATCTTATAGAGTTATGTAATACAGTAATATCTGCACAACACTTCACCATGACCAGTAACATCCTTAGTAAAGCTGGTCCTTAATGACTTAACTGTAAAGGGGCCACACAACACTTCACCATGACCAGTAGCATCCTAAGTAATGCTGGTCCTTAATGACTAAACTGTAAAGGGGCCATACAACACTTCACCATGACCGGTAACATCCTTAGAAATGCTGGTCCTTAATGACTAAACTGTAAAGGGGCCACACAACACTTCACCATAACCAGTAACATTCTTAGTAATGGTGGTCCTTAATGACTAAACTGTAAAAGGGCCACACAACACTTCACCATGACCAGTAACGTCCTTAGTAATGCTGGTCCTTAATGACTAAACTGTAAAGGGGCCACACAACACTTCACCATAACCAGTAACATCTTTAGTTATGCTGGTCCTTAATGACTTAACTGTAAAGGGGCAATACAACACTTCACCATGACCAGTAACATCCTTAGTAATGCTGGTCCTTAATGACTGAAACTGTAAAGGGGCCACAAAACAGTGCCATAATTCTCTCTAATGAGGTTTTAAAAAGTGATTGATATATGTCAAATGATCCTGTGTGAAATACGAAAGAGAAAACATGTTTACCTTTTATCATGATCCGTCAGTGGATTAAAACACGCCGCCTTAAACAGTTTACTGTATATGTATGTTAGTCACGTTACCTAGTACTTTAGATAAATATTGGCAAACTAGTAATGGTCTAATATTTTGCAGCAAATTGAATTCAAAGTCGTCGATTTATAAAGTGTGAAGTGGTTATCGATATCAATTACCGATCATAATAAAGTTGTTAACTCCATAACGAGGCACCAGGTAAAGATCGACCGACCAATTAACTAGTCAACTAATTAGCGGCGCGCGCTACCCATATCGTCTTCTGCTTTGGTCATTAGTTCCCAAGCGTGTTAATTGTTACCGGAAGGTGAGCAGTGGTCAGTTTCACAGGTATCTTGATAACCATAATGATGTAAGTAAGGTTCACATCCTCATGATGAGAGTATTACCAAACAGCTGAGTAAAATGTGCTTCACGTTTAACATATATACCACAAGGCTCAACACTTAGACATCACCCTTAAGTTAACTTTCTAAAGAGATATATTTAGTGGATTTTCTGATACTTCAAAGTACCAGACATTTACGGTGTAGCTGAGAGACCGAGACAGTAACAGTTTAACAGCGAGCTGACGAAAAGGTTTGATTCAAACATATACAATATCATAAACGCTATTTCTCACATTTAAAATGACATAGGTTAATTGTATAATCCTAATTGTAAGAATCGAAATGAACCAACATTTTTTTGTAAAAATAATCAAAATAATATTTCGGTACAAAGTAATGGTTCCTTTGTGAATTTTACAATATAATGTATTTAATTTCCATCAAAAAATCTATAAATGAATCTCAAGGCGACAGCTTGCAATGCTCATTCCCAAAACGGGTGTTGTATTTGACAGGCCCCGCCCCCCGTACTACATGTATGTACAAGTGGAAGGCATGTCGATTGCCTCAAACTGTCAGAGTCTCTCAGACACTTGAACCACATACAACAACTTTATAACATTAGTTCGTTCGTGTAGACTGGCGTGGGTCCTTATGTCAGTTATACTAAGTCTTAGAGAAGATGTCAATCCGACTTTTTATGTTGTATTGTCACACATTGTTAAGACACTAACAGATGAATTAATTCCATGTACATAACCTGATCTCTGACCCCAAGCTCAGACTTCCCCTCACGTATCAGTTAATTTAATCATTCTAACGGAAGGTAAGCACAGATGTGTAGACGTTATTTAGCACTCCTGGTGTCACTAGTGATACTTTGATATCATTACCACAGTAAGCAATCGTACCGAAGAGTAGAAGGAGAAACACACGAAAAGTGTCAACCGGCAAACACTTTCAGTTGTCAGGGTTAAATAATCCTAAGTTATTAAGTGTTGATTTAAAAAGGAGAGTTTTAAATGTACATATCATGACGATTTTTACTTCTGTTACAGATGAATTCTCCTTTGACCTTTACCCCGTGTCGCAGCCTTGACTTTAATGCTGATGAGGTCAAATCCCTGATGACCCCGGAAGTAAAAAAAGACCTCCGTCAACTCTTTGATGATGAGGACTCGGGACTTGGGATGGATGATAAGATGGTAAGTGTCAAATAAATATTTCAACGACAGCAAAGATACTTTATTTAACATCAATGGCAAACGATAAGTAATGGGAATTTTGTATAAAATTTAGACGTATAATATATTTCTAATGTAACATTATTTATATTTTCAGCTCGCTCCAGAAAACGGCCGATCGGATGAGTTATCATTTAATTTGACTGCGATCCTGAACTTGACAGACTTCAGCAAAGAAAAGGTACGTAGCGCCTGGGATACATGACTGTAAAATCAATGGTATACATGTTTAGACATTAATGCTGTAATTAACATGCAAATTCCCCCTCATTTTTTCTTTAAAGAAAAGTGTCAACCTTTCTGAGTGCTATATATTTCAGTTCTATTTCTCACACAAATTTATGACGATATCAAATATGGCACAAGGGGAGCTATAGAAAAATATGGCACAAGTGGAGCTATAGAAAAAGTCTCCGACGCCGGAAGTAGAAACAGCGCCATTAGCAGAAGGCGGGGTAAAACCCGACTCAAAATCTACATATAGATACTTAAAAGTCTTTTGGTGTTTATATACGTGGCAATAAAACACTTCCATAGATGAATACTTTAATGTTGCTAGTTTTGATTTCCAGTTACAGATAAGAAATAATAATTTACACCAACAAGGTTCGAGTTCCAAACGATCTCTATTCACGGGCAAGCGTCAACGAGATGAAGATGACGATTCTCCAACTCCATCCTCCAAGTTACAGAGAAGGGGCGAGGCTGTGTTCAGGAGGACTTTGTCTTTTGGGGTGAGTTTGAAAAATCCTATGAATTAAAAGTACAATGCGTAAAATTCGAAAAAGCATTTTCTCTTACTGACAAATATCGTATTTGGAAATGAATCAATGTCAACCGTATGCTATTATTATTGTAGTTTGAAATGTGCAAATGCTTTTTTTGAATATGAATTTGAATTGGAATAATCTTTAGGACTGGTCTATGACATCACCAGAGATTAGAGCCAATGACGTGAAGGCTGTTGTTAACCGTTTGGTAGAGGATGAGGATTTGGTAGGGGACGGGACTGACACGTTTTGTCTACCGACCATCAAGGGCAGACACCAGGACCTCAAATCCATCTCGGCGAATACGGTAAGGAGATGCATACAGGCATTTTGAAATTTAATTTAAAACACAAATACTCGCTGCCTGGTCCCTAGTTCACAAGTCTTGTATCTGTATATATATATACACATGCTTTTGTGATTGCGCACTCTGAAAAGTGAATACACACGCCTCTTTATATAATTGCCTTTGACTAGAATCTCTCACAGATTAAAACAAGCGCCTAGATTAAATATAGGTCCCCTTGTTTCCTACCGTCCTTGGGATCCAAGTGTTCCGCTTTCTATGGACAGGACATGTATGTGTCAAGGACGTTATATTTGATGAAAGCAAAGGAGTTCGACGATTAGCAGGGATAATTTTGTTCTTCTTTTGACCAAATATTGTACTGATAATAAATATTGTACTGATAATCAGTTGTCAGCTCGCGTAGAAGCGACACAAATTAAATGAGCAATCTATATATTATAAAAGGAGGTGTTTCTTAAAAAGTACAGAAAATCAGTGGAAACAAATATCAAAGGATTCAGTTCATTTGAAATTTGAAATGGTATTTGTTGTTTTGTACGTTTTGCCTTATTATTTTCCCAGATGGTTAATGTTTTGACTGGACGGTATGATGACGTCATCGGGAGTTACCACGTCATTGACTGCAGATACCCGTACGAGTTCAATGGAGGTCATATGAAGGTCAGTATCATATAGCGTGCATCAGTGACAATAGACCAGGAAATGATGATGTGATTGCCATTTTGCATCAACGACAATAAACTATATTAAGAAATCCTCATATTTACATGCATGCATGATTTCTTTTGTATGGTTGTTATAACGAGCCCTTTCTTTTTCAGCACGCGGAGAACAAGTATACACGTGACCAGGTGCAGCAGCTTCTCCAGGAGAGGCGGTGTTATGACGTCACTGGAAAGAGAAATATCCTCATCTTCCACTGTGAATTTTCCTCGGAGAGGGGACCCAAATTGTAAGTTTTTTTTATCACCTGTTAAAGTGGGCAGACAGATGTGGAGCTTATGTTAGTCTAGGGGAAGTATTTATATAATTTCAACTACTTCTTGTTATTGTGTTAGCAATAATGTGGAATACATTTTTCTTATTAGTATGCGTTTCTTGAGGACCCAGGACCGTGCCCAGAACGAGGCTAACTACCCGACCTTGACCTACCCCGAGGTGTACCTCCTGGACGGTGGATATAAGGCGTTCTACCACACAGACAAGGTAATTAATTGATCAGTTACAGTTAAAAGAAACATACATGGAATTATGCTTTCATAGAGCGCGCTTCTTTGTCTATGAATTCCATGGCTATCTATAATCTTATACCAGAAACTTCGTGAAAGCAACAGTTGTTTTCGATTTTTTCTGTACTATAATAAATATATTTTGTCTTTGGAAAATCTTCATAACACTAGGAGGAAAGTAATATTTATTTGTCAGCAATAAAACTCGTTGGGTTTAAGTAACAAGTATACTATTTGATATTCCACAGACTTTGTGCCACCCCATGGAGTACAAACCAATGCTGCACCAAGGCCACTCTGACGAATTACGTCACTTCCGGGCACGATCCAAATCATGGACAGCAGGTGACAAACAGAAGAAAACAGCATCCCGACTCCGTTTTTAATCGGTACAAACACGAAATCTCTGCAGGTTTCACGGTGTGCGAAACACTAGGCTTGAATGTCAATTGTGAAAAACGAGAGTTAGTGTGCATTGACTCCAATCATGAACATTACGAAAAAGAAAACGGAAATGACGTCTTAAATTAAAGCTGAAGAATTAGGAATCGAAACAACAGCACCCGCTGACCAAGTGTTAACGGCCCTGTTGTGAACTTTTCCTGTTTATGTTTAACACATGATTTTGTAATGGAATAATTAATTATCTCGTGCGGATAAATGGGAAACATGAGATACATCTGAAGATGTAACTAGAAGTGCTAGGTACCCAATAGTGCTATGTAACATTGTATGATACTGTGTGTGTTATTGTGTTGTGTGTGTTATTGTATTGTGTATGTTATGTGTTTTGACTTGTAATTGCTGCCGTATCGTGTAGTATGAATAAATAAGTATTGGTATGAAAACATTGTCTTTGTTATTTTCATACGTGCAACAAGGATGTTACAGTTAAAAGGAGGCCGTAGCAATGAGTTATCTACTCCATATACAGTTTACAAGTCGTCCCTCGATAAGATTTTGTTAGAAATAGCAGTTAAAACCCTGTTTTAAAACAGGCTTAAATTCATAGTGGTCAACTCCGAAGTGCTCCAATACCTCAAAAAATATTATTATACACAGGCAATTAGAAAAATGTCAATGCGGCTATGACTTACATTAATATACAGATGCTAGCGTAGTAAAATAAAATCCTGTATGTTCAAAAATATATCCACGAGTTCCAATCATATGTGTTAATTGTGAATTAATAAATTCGTATCTGTTACGCCAGTAATTCTAGGGTGTTTTATCCTCTTTTACATTCTTATATTCCAGTGCATTGAGGCAAAATCGTCAAATCGAGAAATTAGCATTCTATCTTACAAATTTGAATAGTGATGGCGTGAACAGACGTTAATGTACGACTATAAATTCCTATGTTTATTTGTTGATGTATTCATGAAAACAGTTTGCACAAAAAATATCACAATTCTACAAGGGACTGTCCTTGTACCAGTTCTATTTATTTGTCATAACATTCCACAACGACTTTGAAACCCAACAAATACCAGCGACCATCTACTTCGTCTAAATGTTACAACATCATATCTAACATTGAAAAGAAAAGCTAGAATCTCTTCTGGCGCACTAACTATACGATGCGACATAACATGCATTTAGTCTATACAAATATTGTTCATTACAAGTGTCGCTACAACTTCAGCTATAAAACGGTTCCATTAAAAAGTTCTCTGTGCAAAATACATCTTCTGATATTCATTTTGAATGATACCTGTATATTTTTACATATGTACATAAGTCTTCTTGTTAATGAATCTGAGTTTTAGCATCCCCGTCATATTGCCCCGTCTTGTTTTGATTGGACACATTTGATCAGCGGCAAGGGGTATTTCAACCAGTATTTCCTTTACCCAACCAATGTCTGTTCTATTCTCATAGCATTGCACTCTTTCTGAATGACAACAGAGCCTCCTTCCGACCACTTCTCCAGTTGCTGTATTTCCTGGTGTAATCAGGCCGATTGGTCGATGCTTTAAATACCATATAGTACCGTCAAGATACAAGATACAAGAAACTTTATGCAGAGTCGCATACATATAAACAAGCAGTATAAGCTCTTGCGACAATAACAAGAAATAAACAATAGAAATAACAGCGGTCACAACACCGAACCCTGTGACATTCCACTTATAACATTCGTCAACATCGGTTGTCCTCATTAAGCTACATTGTACATCTCTTTGCTGTTGTTCTTTCGTCATGCCAGAGCTGAATTTACAGTTCGTGATTTCGCATATAATCCCATCTGGGGAACTGCGGGGTGTAATCGTTCATGGAAGACTTTATCTAATCATTATATGAATGACCGTAAATAACACTCACTTACCCTCATTCTAAATATCAGCCCGTTTATCAAGGCTTACAATAGTTGCAGAAATGTAATGTTGAACTTTTGAGAGAATAAATAAATTATCATCAGTAGAAAGATAAGCATTACTAGATGTAAGTAGATCAACAGATGAATATCCAAGATGATTAGTGATGTCAGTTATGAAATGTTTATAGATGCTGTTTCTGTACGTGGAATGCATTTCCCCTTTTACAACATTTCAATCATTTCAATAATTTTACAGATAAAATCGAAAGCCAACTTTGCTCTTACTAAACACCAAATTTGAATAAAAGTATTCTATGCTCTTCAATCGAAAATGTATCTTTTATATTAAGCATATGTATCGTAAGTGTCATGAGTTAATGTTAAAATTAAGTAAATACAAATCCAGTTAATTCTTTTGTAAATTAATTAAAATACACAAATATTCCCTTTGTTTTGACATTTTCAAATAAGAATTGTACTTAATTTTGATCAAATCCTCATACAAATTCTAATAGATTAAATGAATATATAATTGATAAGGGGGGATAACTGAAATAATTAATAATGTGACAAGAAACCCTTTTCATTTATTATATTTTTTGCTGTACCTTTCTTTGTACTCTTCATCTTTGTAAGCTATTTAGCTCTGAAGATGTCTTGATTGTAATTTCATAAACTCGTTATGTTCATCCGGTTGCGAATTAATAGATAAAAGTTACACATTGATGAGCTGTGGCAATATATAGATTATGTTACTCACAAACCATAATATTGACGATCATTTCTTTCTCTCTCTCTAGAGATAACACTCGTGTAGTATATTAACATACGAACTATATACAAGTTAACACGTGCCGGTTAGTTTCAAACGTGCAATAAGTGTACACGTTATTTAAAACAAGTGTACTCTCGATGGTATTAGTTGTAAAAAGAGGCCCGGAAGTTCACTGCTGTAACAATCACTTCCGGTAGACTGGTCCCTGTTGTTTTTGTTCGGTTGCTGCAGACGTTTCGATGCCCCCCTGGTCCCTATATTAGTTGCCGGCGTAAACATATTTTCAGGGTCTACGAGGTCGATGTTGTTTAGGACTTTGTAAAGATCGATGAGGTCTGCTCTCTCCCTTCTATACTCGAGTGAAGGCAGTCCTAATTTTCGTAACCTTTTATTATATGGTAGGTTTGATATATTTGTGATGCATATTGTGGCTCTCTTTTGTACATTTTCGATGGAGATTTTGTCTCTGATGAAAATTTGGGACCATATAGGTGTTCCATACTCTCAATGTGGTCTGACGAGCGATTTGTACAGTAGTGTAAACATGACTGCGTCCATTTAAGTTCCAAGAATTCTGTCAGCCTTTGTAACTGTTATATTGACAGGGACTGGTATCCAATTGATTGTCTATAGTGACGCCAATATCCTTCTCATTCTCACATTTCTCTATTTCAGTTGTAATACCGGGAAAACGAAGATATTAGATGTGGTTATTCCCCTGAATTTCCCAATTTCCATTTTTTTTATTGTTTTTTTTTTTTCAATCTTTTTGTTACATTTACATCAAACATATATTACACACAAACTGTCATTTGTAGACAGAATCATGCGTTTCTCAATCATCATCATTTATACACATTGAAAAGCATCGTCCTTCTCATCCTCATCCTCATCCTCATCTTCTGTACAATCATCTTCATCATCATCATCATCGTCCAAACACAATGACAATCATCATCATCATCATCGTCATCATCATCATCATCATCATCATCATTTCCATTTGTTTACACTTTTTTGTATTCAACTTACTAACAGGTTATCTGTCCATTTACATAATATGTCGATGTTCTCCTGAAGATGTTTCCAAATTTTGGATTTTTTTTTATTATACTTTAGTATCGTCCGCAAAGAATTTGATGTTATAAATTCAATCGATGACTTTCGGCATGTCGCTGACGTAGATCAACGATAAAATTGGTCCTAGAACGCAACCCTGAGGCACCCCACTAGTGACGGGCCTGCGTTTTGCGAATTGTTCATTAACGACCACTTCTCGTATCATAGAAAACTTAGAAAATCCCGTATCCATGCTAATATGCCATAGTATTGACGTTTATACAGTATCAGATGATGAGAGACAGTGTCGAAGGCTTTGGCAAAATCCAAGTATATCACATCGACATGTTTACCTTAATTTAAGGTTTGAGTCCAATCTTCAAAGTCTTCAAGGACTTCAAGAAGCAGAGTTGTACATGATCGTCCAGGTCTAAAGCCTTGCTTATGTTTTGAAAAATAATTTGTTCCTGTTCATGATCCACAGGAGAAGTTTGCATGGGATTGAGGTAAGGCTTACTGGTCTATAGTTTCCTGGTTCCGTTTTTGCATGTTGGTCTTACGATTGCAATTTTCCATTGGTTTGGTAGCTTTTCTTCCTCGAATAATCGTAAGGGGCTTTTTGATCGAGTGTGCAGTCTTGGCTATTAATTATAGATGAATGTTATCCTGTGTTTTGTTGAGGTAAGTCTCCTATAAATACAAACACGCTGGCAAAACATTTGTTGAAGACCTCAGCCGTCTCCTCATCCGTTTCAGTTAGTTGACCTTCCTTATTTGACAATCTACTAGAAACCGTTGACGTTTTAGTTTTTGACCCGACATATTACGGACTCGATTTGATTTAAACAGCGACGTCCCTCTCAAGTTGATATCTAGAGTTCTTAATCCTTGATACTGCATAATTCCTTGCCACTTAAAAGTTAGAAATAAAACTGATGCGTTTGCAATTAAGGTATTTATTCCACAGATGCTTCTTTTGTATGGCCGCTTGTTTAGCCTCGTTGTCGAGATAAGTGTTGTTCTGGTTTCTTGGTTGATATATCTTCCTCACTGGTATGCATTTCTTTATTTCATTTGTTTAGAAGACAGAAAGTTAATTCCAAGCTTCCGAAATTCCATCGCAATTACTCATAACCTCAGCATTGAATTGATTCAGGTCACGTGTCATCTGGACAAAGTTGCATTTGTAGATTTTATACCGTTTCAGATCGTCTCCCTCCTGTCATGGTGCGGTGGAGTTATGAGTACACATATCAAAACGTAAGGTCAAATAGTCACTTTTACCTAATGATGGTAAGTAGTTGATATCATCAATCATTTCCTTCTCATCAGTAAAGATAAGATCCAGTTTATTTGGGATTTGCCCCTCGCAGTACCTAGTGGGGTGCCTAACACGTCCCTAGTAGTAACGAGACATTATGTGGATGGCCAATTTTCCCTTGTAGTTGTTGATCCACGTTCCCAGTTTATTTCTTTAAGCTGAAGTCATCCAGAATTAATAGATGGGAAATACGTAAAGAATACAATTTCCCAAGAAGATCAGACAGGCGATCGCTGTTTTGTTGTAGGCTGTTTGGGCTTTTATATATGCAGCACACAAGTGATGAGTCTCTATTATGAAGGTTTATGGAGCAAGCAACCTATTCGCCAAATTCCACTATTTTTTTCACTAATTAGGTTTCTGGAGATGTATATTCCAATACCTCGCTGATTTGGTTCACTGGAGATGTATATTCCAATACCACGCTGATTTGGTTCACTGGAGATGTATATTCCAATACCACGCTGATTTCGTTCACTGGAGATGTATAATCCAATACCACGCTGATTTGGTTCACTGGAGATGAGTAATCCAATACCACGCTGATTTGGTTCACTGGAGATGTATATTCCAATACCACGCTGATTTGGTTCACTGGAGATGTATATTCCAATACCACGCTGATTTGGTTCACTGGAGATGAGTAAAAGGTATCCAAATCATACGTTTTAGTGTCCAACGGTAAATCGATCCTAATATATGAATAAAAATACAATAAACCAGAAATTTATAAAAGCTATGTTTTATTGGTTGTAATGTTTAATTAAGGACTCAATTAAATGATATAGAGAATGCCTTTGGAGTTATAAAAATGGTCTTAAACGGAGTATGGTCGCCTAATAAAAGTTGTTGCTTGCCCTTCGTGAGAGATAGTCGCTAAATACAGTTTAATTATATAGAGAATGCCTTTGGTGTTATCAAAATGGCCTTATAAGGAGGATGATCGCTTGATACAGTTAAACTGTATAGAGAGTGCATTTGGAGTTATCAAAATGGTTTTATACGGAGGATGGTCGCTTAATAAGAGTTGTTGCTTGCGCTTCGTGAGAGATAGTCGCTTAATACAGTTTAACTATATAGAGAATGCCCTTGGCGGTTTCAAAATGGCCTTATAAGGAGGATGATCGCTTGATTCAGTTAAACTATATAGAGAACGTCTTTGGAGTTATCAAAATGGTCTTATAAGGAGGATGGCCGCTTGATTCAGTTAAACTATATAGAGAATGCATTTGGAGTTATCAAAATGGTCTTATAAGAGGTGGGTGGTTGCTTGAGCAGAAGGTGAAATATGTTGTTAAACAGGTCAAGTGTGCACCTCTTGACGCAGCGTATTTGTGAGACTGCAACATTTCTTACCTTCCTTTTCAATGTTGTTCGGGGAAGGAAGGCGTATCCCAATAGGGAGACATTGCAGTTGTAGCATATCTTTTAATGACCGTCCGATGTCTAATCATTAATCAGACAGTTTACTTACTGGAAGATATCTACATTTTTTTCAGTTTGACTGCGATGTTTTGAAACCAGCGTGTATTTGTTATGATTATAAATTCAGGTACATCTTAATCGGACTCCAGTGCAAAAAAAGATAGGTTTTGACAATATATACCGAGTATTATATTAAATTGTCGAGAGAAAGCTTGTAAATTTAATCTCAGTTACATATTATGTACGTTTCTCATTGATATGTAGAAATATCAGTAATTAGTTTTGACTTGACAGTGAAGCCAGTGTAAAATACATCTTGATGTTATGTTATATCCTTTATCAGAGCAAAGGACATAACAAATACAACCGTCTAGTTATTGGCCTTTCTGACTAAATGTATTGTTGAACATAACAATAACAATGGATGCTTTCATTACAAAAATATTTTATTCATACTACATGATACGGCATCAATTTACAAGTCAAAACCTAACAACATACACAGCGTATTAGACTCGTATACAATAATAAATAGCACTTTAAGTACCTAGCACTTCTTCACCATAGCCTGTAAATGTGTCCCATGTTTCCACATATACAACGACGGCCAACCACACAAAACGATTAACCTTAACACTGTACATTAATATCACATTGATTATAATGTAGCATACACATCCTGTTGTTCGATGGATGATTATCGATTTCCGGTTCCTCACTTCCGGCTCTTGTTCTTTCTAATGTCTAGGCTTGGTTTCCATACACAAACCTTGTGTCCAATTCATGAATGACTATTAAATGTATCTGGCACCCTGTAATATGTGGAGTTGTTTGCATTGTTTAGAAGCGGAGTCGGGAGTTCGTTTTCTTCTGTTTTTCACCAGCTGTCCATGATTTAGATCGTGCACGGAAGTGACGCAATTCATCACCATGACCTTGATGCAGCATTGGTTTGTACTCCATCGGATGGCAAAAAGTCTGTGGAATTTGAAATAAAACGCTTGTTACTTTTAACTTTTAATAATTGAATTTCAAGTACTGGACTAAGACACTTAGGTTTCTGTTCGTTTATGCGGAACAACCGGTTTGTCTGTTTTTAAATGTAGTATTTTTGGTATAAATCCTTAGGTCCGACCTTATTTCATAAACGAACCGTTTGGATCGCGGTAAACGAACACGGCCTAGGTAAATATCAGAACAGACTAAAAACCGAATTACAATAAAACAGTCGTCTCTCATGACGCGTATGTAATATGTAAGATAAAAATACAGATCTCCCGGTGCCAATTTTAAATTTTATTACCTTGTCTGTGTGGAAGAACGCCTTATATCCGCCGTCCAAGAGGTATACCTCGGGGTAGATCAATGTCGGGTAGTTAGCCTCGTTCTGGGCACGGTCTTGGGTCCTCAAGAACCGCATCCTGGTAAAAAGAAATGCACTTAAATTAAATGTTTGCAAACATAAAATGAAGCAAATTGCGTTACTTATAACTAAAGAATTTCTGTTTATGAATATAAATTAAAGCAATATAGGTTAGTCAAAGGAACCGGACACATGGTCTGAACATTCCGAACAGCTCCGTGTTTTCTTAAATCCACTTGGACAATCATTAATCGAAATAAAAAGTGCGGCCATTAGGCTTACACAATTTTCAACAGGTGATACATGAACTTACATTTTGGGTCCCCTTTCCGAAGAAAATTCACAGTGGAAGATGAGGATGTTTCTCTTTCTAGTGACGTCACAACTCCGTCTCTCGTTGAGCAGCTGCTGCATCTGGTCACGTGTGTACTTATTCTCCGCGTGCTGAAATTAAAAGGATTCGTTATCACAACAATACCAACAGCAAACATGTATATGAAAAGGGAAAGTGTCAAATATTAATCCAACTATTTATCATCAAATTCTGGCCTCGTCTTTTGTCGCAGATTCATGCTATTATACTAACCTTAATATGACCTCCGTTGAATTCGTACGGATATCTGCAGTCAATGACGTGGTAACTCTCGATGACGTCATCATACCGTCCAGTTAAAAGGTCAACCATCTGGGGGAAAAACACGACAAAATTAACGCTAAAATAAACATATATACCTTTATATCTAATTTCAACCAAATATGTCGAGGGCAATGGGTTTTCTGTGTATGGTATAGGACTTTCTCGCATTACTTTTAAATAGAGGGGGTTTGAGATTTACCTAGATTGACGTGTAAAAGCAATACATACGCACAAAACCATAATTAACAACCCAAACACGATATTATTGTTATGGTAGTGAATTTGAATGAATACATGAATGAATGCATGCAGAATCTCCTTACCGTATTCGCCGAGATGGACTTGAGGTCCTGGTGTCTGCCTTTGATGGTCGGCAGACAAAACGTGTCGGTCCCGTCCCCTACCAAATCCTCCTCCTCTACCAAACGGTTAACAACAGCCTTCACGTCATTGGCTCTCCTTTCTAGTGACGTCATAGACCAGTCCTAAAATAAAAAAAGGTAAATAATATCACTTTACTTAGTGCGCTATTCATTATTTATAGAAAATGTGTGTGCTAATTGTATACACAATGTGTAGAATAGTCGACATAAATCATTCGTTGTTTTTTTAACGTTTTTGTTGTTATTGTTTTTACACCCTATTTACCTCAAACGACAGAGAGCTCCTGAACACAGCCTCGCCCCTCCTCTGTGATTTGGAAACTGGAGTTGAGGAATCCTCATCTCCATCTCGTTGACGCTTGCCCGAAACGATAGATCGTGTGACTCCTATGCCCTGTTCAGATAATTGTTTCTTTCTGATCTGGAACTGGAAAATAAAAGGCATGGTTCATGAAATAAGAAAATCATATACAGACATTTTTTTAAATAAAAATAAAAATAAAAATTGCATTGTTTTATAAATGTATCCAAATACACAGAGAATCAGAGAATGCTTTACAGTAGTTACTATTGAGCAGTAAAATTCGTCGAAAAGTACTTTTAACCCATTAATGACGAAGAGATGCCTACCTTCCCATTGCATTCTTCAAAGTTCAAGATCGCATTAAGATTAAAGGGTGATAACTCATCTGTCTGCTTGCTTACAGGAGCGACCTGAAAAGAAATTGTATAAAGTAAAAATCCATGACATGTTTCGCGGACTATATATATATCAATGAAGACATGCACGTGTATACAGAATTTGTAATTATTTGTTTGATTTGATTGATGGTGATATTAGTGATTTTCTTATCGTTGCAATGTACATTTGACACTTACCATCCAATCATCCATCCCAAGTCCCGAGTCCTCATCATCAAAGAGCTGACGGAGGTCCTTCTTCACTTCCGGGGTCATCAGGGATTTGACCTCATCAGTATCAAAGTCAAGGCTGCGACACGGTGTAAAGGTCAAATGTGAATTCATCTGTAACAAAAGTAAAAAGTAATGACATATACATTTTTTTTAAATGGTATACATATATATATCACCAAAAAATCACTGAAATTCCTTCTGAATCGTTTCCTTTGAAATAAAAACGTTTGCCAGGTAGACATTTTACAAGTTTTTTTACATTTAAACGTAGCTATTCTGTCAATGTCATGAGATCTAGAGTAGTAGATCAAACATTGTCTACGTACATGTACTTACCTAAAAAAGAATTGAACTACTGACTCTGTACGTAAAATGGATCTCTGTGCTTGGGATCAGAGATCAGTGTATATGTCACATCATTGCCTGACCATCTACACATATATACCTGACACAAAGACCCACGCCGGTCTATAAGAATGTTTTTTGGTTGTTTTAACCAGTGGTTCCACGTGTCTGTGAGGTCGTGACAGTTTGGGCCAATCAAAGTGACATAATTCTAGATCTTGTACATACACGTATGGAGTTTGGTGGCGGGGCTGGTTAAGAGGCAAGGCCCATTTCGACTTTTTCGAGTACAGCAAATTGTCACCACGAATTTCACATATAAATCTAGACTGTAAATGGTTATAAAGAGAAAAGTATAAAAAAAAATCCCATAGTCTGTCTATCTCTGTACCGGTATTAAATTTTATCTTCTACGGCAAAATAAATTCTTTTAAAATGACTTAATTTAAATATCTTGCAATAGATTGAAACGATTATCAACACACGTGTATCATCTTCCTTTTCATAACTGAACATCACAAATAGCAAAGCTAATGGATGAAATATTAAAATCAAACCTTTTTGTCGACTCTTTGTAAAACGTCACCGTTTCTGGCGCTGAGCTGTTCAGTAAGTATCTTGTGATTTGAAGTCACAATAAGTCAGATAAATGTTTTTTTTTACTTTATCTTTAGAAAGTTAACTTAAATGTGATGTCTAAGTGTTGAGCCTTGTGGTATATATGTTAAACGTGAAGCACATTTTACTCAGCTGTTTGGTAATACTCTCATCATGAGGATGTGAACCTTACTTACATCATTATGGTTATCAAGATACCTGTGAAACTGACCACTTCTCACCTTCCGGTAACAATTAACACGGTTGGGAACTAATTACCAAAGCACAAGACGATATGGGTAGCGCGCGCCCCTCATAAATTAATTAGTTAATTGGTCGGTCGATCTTTACCAGGAGCCTCGTTATGGAGTTAACAACTTTATAATTGTCGATAATTGATATCAATCACCACGTATCACCTCTACAAATCGACCACGATTATTATATTTTGCTAAATACATATGCAGCTGTATTAATTTGTCTAGATTTCTGAAAACATTAGAGCAGTATTTGTTTATCTATGTTCATATGTTCACATGATCTGAAGTTCATTTTAAAACGGATGTGTTTTAAGGAGGTAGTGTTACTGCTAATTACAAAAGGCCTAATATGTGCGACCATCATATAGTAATATATCCGGGTAGCTCCTTTCCGTCCTTATTCTGCTGCTGTCCGTCTTCATTTCACAAAGATTTTATTAAATATTGTAGCTTACACAAACTTAAAAGGAATTGGGCAACTGCAGGCGTAATGCCGATACAAGCCCTCTCCTGATATGGACAATGCACTTTATAATATATTAGTTGTGAAATAATTTAAAAGCTTTCTACATCGAGGACATGCTCTCCGTGTAACGTTCCTCCATTGACAGTTTGTTCCTTAGACCAAATTTAAACCAATGTGTATGAGAAAGTCTTATGCTTTATACAGCCTATACATATATGGTAGACGATCCGATGTAATTCTTTACAGGTTTATATCATTATATTAACCCAAATTTTTGAATGATTAGCTCACATAAATAAATTATAGAAATATTGATACTTTCTTGCCAAGTTAAAAGAAAGATTATTTTGTATATGTGTTCATATACATTAAATTTGGTTGAGCATACAGACGCTCAGTCTCTTTAATCAACTCCCTTACTCACCTTCAATCCACAGGGACCTGATAACTTGGTACAGCTATAAATGCCACCTCCAATGATCATATATCTCAATGATCATGCCGAAAATCTAAACCCCTGAAAAGTGTAAAATTACTCTAAACACTTCAGTTTAGGTCCAAATATAGCTGTAACTAATTCTCAGGTCCCTGTGGTTCAATCCTGGAGCAACTTGATTAAAATAGGCAGATCAGTTTATCTCTTATAGCATTAACATCGTTTCCCGAGAGTCAAACATGCTTTTGATTGTTTTACCTTTCTTGCATGGCCGAACTTAATTTAGTTGTTAAATAACAATTACAAAATAAAAATAAAACGATCTTTTATTATTTTCATGAAAAAAATGATCAAAACATATGAAGTTCACACTTTTTGAAATTTCAAAAGAACAGAGGAATTGAACTTAAACAAAAAATTAACTTTATTTAAAATTAAAAAAATTAACAAACAACAGTTGCAATTTGTATATATATATGTATAATCATGGAAATTTTGAGAAGATTTTATTCGTAGGCTTATAACAAAATTTGTCAGTTTTGGAGAGTGGTCTGTTATGGAACTGATCTGTTATAATTTGTACAATGGTAGGCTTTAAACAAAATTTGTCAGTTTTGGAGAGCGGGATGTTATGGAACTGATCTGTTATAATTTGTACAATGGTAGACTTTAAACAAAATTTGTCAGTTTTGGAGTGCTGTCTGTTATAATTTGTACAATGGTAGACTTTAAACAAAAGCAACATCCAATAAGAAGATTGTTGAATTAAAGAAAACCTCTTCTGCGGCCTGGAAGCAGGAGGTTGATAAAAAAATATTCCTGTGTAGATAAAATGGAGCAACAAATTACCTCCCCTTGTATTTATCATAACAGCCAGACAGGGTTGTACAGGGAGAACTAAAATGAGTATTGGGACTCGAGGGTAGAAATAAAGTGTGACACACAGATAAAAACAAGAGGCCCAGAGGGCCTGTATCGCTCACCTGGATACCTAAGCAATCATGGCAAACTATTCTCCAAATGAGATCAAGGGAATATGCCAGACCCCAAGGCCAATCCTTGCAGCATAGCTATATTAGATTTTTCATGCCCAGCAATTTTATGTATGGTTATGGGGTGGGGATCTCAACTGTTTCCAAGCTTTGAC